TTTTGGTGAAAATGTTTTTTTAACCAAAAAAAGAACTCCTTTTTTAAAAAAAAAAAAAAAAAAAAAAAAAAAAAAAAAAAAAAAAGACCAAAAATAAAGCTTGTAAGGAGAGCGGAAAAAAGTTTGAATAAAATTGCGATCCTTGGCCTGGAATGAGGAACATCTGATGTCTGAAAATTTCATGTTTCGGGTAAAGTTTTATTAAACAACTAAACGCTAAAAACAAAATGAAATGCTACAGCATTTTTCACTCACCAGAACTCACTTGTCTCCACCGTCTGTTTCTTCAGATTCTCCCTGTCTGCAGTAGAAATAGTCGACCACTCATCTGACCTATGAAAAAGATCGGCAGAACAATCACTTGACTTTACATATTTAATGTGCAATTATTCTTGATTTCATACTTGATTTTAAATTAGTTTGCAGAAGCCATTTAGCCGTTTTGCATCTTACTTGGCACTCCAGGGACCTTTCCAGAGCACAAATCCCCAGGGATTGCGTAGACGAATCAGGCGGATTCTGGAGTCCTTTGAGACTTCGTCGCACTGAGAAAACACCACATCCCATTTCACGTTAGAAACGTCTTCCACTGCGAGGACGTGTAAGTCTGCTTTCAAATGACATTTCTGCTGCACCTCTTCCAGGCCGATGATGGAGTAGGCGTGACCCCTGACCAGCCCTTGGTCAGTCCGGGACTCCATTTCACTGGCGGAGGAAACCTGGCAGACATTTCAAAACAAAGATGTCCTTTTTTTTTTTAGTAAAGTTTATTTGCAACAAGGCAGGTCAAAGTGATTTAGACCAGTTGTGAAATGTTCTTCAGCTGACAGAAGGCCTACTTTTTGCTTCTTTAGGGAGAAAAAACCCCCATCTTTACTGCATTTTTACTGCTTTTTGCAGTAAAAATGGAGTGTTTTCTCCAACACTCACATCTATGGAGCTGCCCATCAGCGAGCCCCTCTCCAGCGCCTTCCTCATGATGGTGAAGAGATCAGCAGGTGCCTCGGACAGCTCAAAAAACTCAGTGACTCCACCTGTGAAATCCTCCATGGCTTCCAACGTGTTTCCCCCTTTCAGTGCCTCATAAGATCCGTGCAACCTGAGAGAGGGAGGTCAATCATTCTCGGAGCATTGCTGAGGTGTCTGACCTCAAAGGCTTTTATCGCAGCTTCTGCAGCCAACTCAGGAAACATGAGAAGTTTCGTGGTTGAATGCCAAAATGTATACATCTTGATTAGACATCTGGTTTCCTGCGTTCCTTCATAAAAGCTTTTTTTTTTATGATAAGTTTGCATCTAATCCAGAGGAAACAATATGTCATAAATATGCTTTTAAACAAGAAGGTCTTGGCTGAGCCTCGTAGACAGACGCTCCTTACTTGGCGTAAGCTTTTTCCAACAAAGCGCTCCAGAACTCGTTCTGTCTGAAAGATTTGGTGAAAACCAGCTGGTTGTTGCAGGTGGGGATGCGGTCATCCACAACCACGTCGATCCATTCACCATAACGCCAGAACTGAGTGAGAGAAAGATGTGAAATCCATCACCAGGCAAACATGAAATCCCACCACCTTTATAAATTAGACTTCATTTTAGTTTTTCTGGTTATTCTGAGTTTTGGATGCAACATTATCTTTGTTTTTTAAAAGAATTATTGTAATAATAAGAGGTTTGTTCATATTAACTAATGGATAAATTGTTGCCACTTCTTTCTTAGATTTTTTTTATATTGTTTATTTCCTTTTAACTCTTCTTCCAGTTTCTTTTTAAAGTCTGTTTGGCTGTGAACACAACAGTTTGACCTCAGTCACATGAAATGGGTATAGATTTTGCTATAATTTTTATTTTCTTGGGATTTATCACTTAAAACTGCCAATAAATATCTCTGGAGTGTATTTAAAACCAATGTTTCTTTAAGAAAATGAATCAAGAATTACATTTGCACGGAGGTATGGGACTCTCTTATCAGTATCCTCAGCACTAATTTGTGTTTTTACAGTGACTTGTGAAAATTAGATGGTATATCATCATAGTATTTACGTAGGTATGTATGAAATCATAAACTTTCATGCATTGTTTTTTTTATGAGTCTGTCCTTTCTAAGCACAAATTTTATGTAAATTTACTTTATCAGGTCACTGAATTTGAGGCCCTTGCATTTTAAAATGTTACTCCTGACACCAACTAGTGCCTTTTTTCCAGAATAATACTCTTTCACCACCGTGCTTGACAGAATTAGGTGTTTGTGCTCATACACCGTATTCAGTTTTCTCCAAATAAAACGCTGCGCATTACAGCAGAATAACAGTATCTGCCCTCGTCCGTACAAACATTGACATAGGCCATTATTCTAGGAAGGTGGCAATATTTTAAAAACGGTGCCACAAACTTTCATCTTCAGCTCCGCCTCGCATCAACACTGATATGAAACCTGAAAGTGGAAGATTCCGGCGTAATTCTCAGTGAAGCTCTGGTCCGGAGGAATCACTCTGTACAGCAGCTTCTCGTTCAGAGTCAGGCAGGCGATGGCGGCGAGCAGCCAGCAGTCCCCTGCCAACAGATTCATGATCTATGAGGGCCGTGGGTTTATTCCAAGCAAACATTTGACTCTGAGCCACATTGCAGCAGGTGTTCACCAACAGTTACAATGAAAGTTGTTCCATGTGTTTAAGTCGTGAAGCATCTTTCGCTTGAGCGCCGGGTGCAGTTACTCTTTCAATAACAGTAGAAGTAAAATGAGTAGATCAAAAATAAATGCAGTTTGTTTAGAAATGCAGTTTAGTAAGAGAATATTTTGTCTAACTTTGCGTTTTCATCCAAGTCAGACAAAATGTTTAAAATGTTAAATTTATCTGCGATGAACACACTGCGTATTTTTTAAAAAGCCACTATTGATCCACCAATTATAGAAAAATAAGTTTTTTTTTTATTTGTAACCCTTTAATGTACACTTATAAGTAAATAAATGTATTGTAATTTATACATAAATAAAAATATTAGCTGTAGATGTGTCATTTTGTCTGTATAAAATCAACGTCTTGATGGTGACGAGATCAGAAGCTTCACAACATTTGCCTCCGTTAGGAATCATTGTAAAGGGACATTTCGCTGCTTTTCAACCTATGCAACCATTCTTAAGCACAAAGTCTTCTTAAAACTGAACTGAATTATCTCACTCTCAAAGCAACCTTGATTTTATTATGCTAGTGAAAGTAATTTTTTAAAAATGTAGAAGTTTGTTTGCTAGTTTACCCATGCAGAGTTAAATAATCATAGTTTAAGACGCAGACACAGAATTGGTTAGAGACAAAAAACAAGGAAACTGACCTCTTTATTTTATTAATGTGTTTTTATTTATGGGTTTCAAGTACCTCACTAAACCATAAAAAGCTGGAAATATGAAAAATTAATGATCAAATATTTTAAATTAAAGATACAAACCATTCCATTTTTTAAAATTTTTTTTTTGCATCTTAAATCTTTAAAATATTTTATAATTGTATAATTTTCCAGACTGCTCTGGACTGGGATTATGCTACAGTTTTGAAAAGCAGCATGCTAATGCAACATTGCCTGTGAAAGCAGGACCAGCTTAAAGAATTACCCAGAGTTCCTTGGCAGATGTCGGTTCTGTTGGCTCCATCGACGATGAACTGGGGATCTTCACAGATTTCCTGCAAGGCAAAAAAAAAAAAAAAAATGTTACATACAATTATCGAATGTCAACAATGTAATATATTAAATTAATTGATATTTCCAACAATTTGGATTCAAATTTGTCCCTTTAAACCACCCTGAGGTGCATTTAAAGGTAAGAAAATGCAAAAGTAAACAAGGGACATATTAAATCAGGTTAACTCTGATATCCTGTGCACATGAGCTACCAACACAGAGGTCTAAAAAGTTGGAGTCATGTTCTTAAATTAGAGCTTGCTCCACTGCTGACCCCCCCGGAAGGGATTCATGTGTCACTAATCTCAGCCAAATGCCTCAAGCTGCATAAATTATCGGTGATCGTGCAGAAATCACACCCCAAATTAAGTCAACTGTGACAAGGTGAGACACATTTCTTTTACATAAATAACCAAACATCCATGCTGAGAACTAGTTTTATCCAAAAAAGGTTGTTTGACCTTGAAGCACACGGTTTGACTTCAAATAGTTGTTTAAACTGGACAGGTTGGTGTCAGTTTTCTCATCTTAAAGTCTTCAAATATGATTTCTTTGAAACTCGTGTTTATACTGCATATGCAGAATCCAACATTTAGTCTGATGATGTTTATTCACCAAGGAAAGAGAAAATCAATGATTACTAACAAAGAGAACCAGAAATTCTGGTCAGCTTACAAAAGTAAAGCATAAATTGAAGAATGCTTCTGTAACTTTTCCTCTTATAAACGTATAAACAGATTATTCTGTTTATACGTTTGATCTTCCGTTGCGGCACTCCTTAAGTTTTGAATGTTTTCGTTTTTAACCACAGTTTACAAGGGTATTCAGTGCTGTAAGCTCGGGTCTTAGATAAGGATTCTGCAATGTCTATGTTTGTTTTTAGCGTGCAGATCTGTGTCAGTATGTTGGCCGGTACTCTGGGTTGGGATAAGTTCCTCAAATGATGCTAGTTTCTGCCAAACGCTCCTGTCACACCTGCTACAAAAGGTTACATGTGGTCAAAGACAAATCTCAAACTCATGTGTGTCTCAGAAAACTGGACAAGTGTGACTTTGCCTTTACATTTTCCAGTGTTAGTCTGCTGAGTGTGACTGGAAGGTGATAACCCACAAGAATGCACTTGCTTCTCATTGCTGCCATATCAACCAAATGCTTCGCCCATATTTGAAATGAAATGAAATTTTATTCGAACATGATACAAATATAAAATAAAATAGTGC